AAGGATCATCTCTTATTGCTCCAGTGTTACTACAGGAGGAAACCTAAACTAAACTAACTTTATTTATACTGGATAGCTCTATCAGTTCTAAACTGTTCTTCCTAGAGGTTCAGTAAGGATCATCTCTTATTGATCCAGTGTTACTACAGGAGGAAACCTAAACTAAACTAACTTTATTTATACTGGATAGCTCTATCAGTTCTAAACTGTTCTTCCTAGAGGTCCAGTAAGGGTCATCTCTTATTGATCCAGTCTTACTACAGGGGGTAACCTAAACTAAACTAACTTTATTTATACTGGATAGCTCTATCAGTTCTAAACTGTTCTTCCTAGAGGTCCAGTAAGGATCATCTCTTATTGATCCAGTGTTACTACAGAAGGAAACCTAAACTAAACTAACTTTATTTATACTGGATAGCTCTATCAGTTCTAAACTGTTCTTCCTAGAGGTCCAGTAAGGATCTTCTCCTCTTGTAACACTGGTTACTGCAGGAGGAAACCAGACGTCCCGAAGAAAATCTGCAGTGTTTGTCAGAGTCAAAGCGCCGGAAGCGCTCTTCTCACGTGTGACTGAGGTGAAATTAAAATCAGATTACCGAATATTGCAGAATCAAACGCGAGTTGCAGAGGCGCATGCGTTAACAACCGTTGATTTATTACACATATAGAATGGTTGCAATAAACAACAATTTAATGTTTCAGGCTTTGTAGATTTATCGGTCATGTTCTGACCACTGATCTGAAACCTTTATAATATGCAGACTACAATAGTCAAGAATAATTTGTCCATCACTTTCTGATCACGCAAAGAAATTAATGATACCTCAGTAATAATTTATTATTCATGTACATCCACTGACTCATACTTAAATATATTTTTAAAAGCGGAAAATAATTTTAATGTTTGACCTTAAACATTGCTGTTCAATTAGTCATAACATCAAACAATGATTCATCACCAATTTGTAAATTCGGTGCATTAAATAGGCAGATCAAAGCAGCGTTATTTGCGCATATGGTGGTCTATATTTACAGAGTTGTCACAGGCCATTTGTGTGTGCATGCTCTCGGTGACGGTCGGTGCGCATGCATCTATATCGGCGCCGCGCAGGAGCTATTGTATAGAAGTTATTCTAATTTAAGACACGGTTTGTTTAGTTAAGTAAACATTGTCTTGCCTCCTTATATAAATTGTTTATTTGTTTTGCAAAGTGAACGCTTCTGGAGGTGTTAATTGGGACATCAGTATTATTAATATCATAATCGCGCCTTGCGGACGCCCTGGTTAAATCTACTTCACACAATATGCATGCTAAATTTCGGATGCTTGTTGAGAAACTTTGGTGCCTGGGTAACCTGTAACAAACTATACATATAACAAGATCGAGTTCTGTACAAATTCGATATTCTGTAATCATATTCAAGAATATTTACTACCAAACGGACAAGATGACAATTAGACATTCGACTCCATTCATATTAGCCCCAACATCAGATCGCTTCAATAATTTAGGGTAGCATGTACAACATTTATATATAGTCATGCTTAACTCAGCTGTGAGTTCTGTACAATATTAATATCAGATTATTTATTGAGGTAGCCAAAATTCAAGACTGAGGTCTGTTTCAAACGTCGCGCTTCTGATGTGCCGCGAACACATTAAAAACAATAGATAATCAGCTGAAATGCCTCATTATCTACAGTGTTTCTAAGGCGTTCGGCACATCAGAAACGCGACGTTTGAAACAGGCCTGACACACATATATTGTACATACACTGCACATTTGCATGCATGATCTCTAAATTCCAATCACACATAACTCAGTCAGGAGAGAGTATATACAACATTTCAATATGAAAGAAAGTAGCTCCTGCCGTATTCAGAACAGGTTACTTAATTTTACGTGCACGAGTTTTGTGTAAAATATCAGACAAATACAATCAAGAACATACCTTAACACACGCAATGCAGCCTATACAAGATGGAGTGAGAGGGTATATATACAGGGTGTATCATAAAAAACGGAGTCCTCGCTTCAAATATAAATTTCGAAACGAATATTAGAGCAAAACGTTCAGCATTACATTCATTTTAGAGCGTAGACATTCAGCTTTTCAAAGGTGGGTTGTTTCGTAAATATAATCCAGAAGTTCGTGAATAATAATATTTTAAGTGATTGCGATTGGAGAGTCAAAAATTTGAGATGCAATAAGAAACCGGTATTTGATGAAAATAACTTATTTTGTCAACAAAACGAGCAAATTGAGGCATTTTGGCAATTGCTTGTAAAAATCAAGTAATAATGGCTTCCAATACACTATTTTAAATTCACTTGCTGACTTCAAATGCGTTATAATCCCGACTGAAGCGTGTTTTAGCTTTGCTAATTTATATTTACATTACGGTCCGTTTCGATGGTGCTCGTTCGGACGATGCATGGACGTAAGGTTGTTTTGATGATTTCTGGAAATAATTTAGGATTTTGAAAAAAATAAAACAACCTAATCTCTTTTAGAATGTTTTTAACAATTCTTACTAGTTTTTCTGATGTGGCAACAAGAACATTAAAGTTTGAACAAGAAAATTCAAACATTGCAACCGACTATGGAATAACACAGTAAATTTGTATAATTAAGCGGCATCTAAACATGATAGGTTTTGCTAAATTTTCTGCTGTGCAGTTATTACTTAAACTAAAGACACGGATGACCATTTGTTCGAAAGATAAATGAACAGGCTTTAAAATAAGCCTAAAACCGTTTTATTAGAAGTAGCAGTCCGAAAGTTATTAAGCACAAAAGTTGGACTCCGATTTTATTGATACACCCTGTAGGTTGAAGATTTTACTATGATATTTTGATAAGTATTTTAAGTCGTGAACATATTTTAATATTGATCGATTGAACAGCGAACCAACTCGACAAGTGCGACAACGTCTTAAATAAACAGAATTTGAGGGCTGGAACGAGCTACCAACGCCAACCCACACTTTTAAACCTCAAAATCAGGACTGATCAGTAGAGTGAAGTAAAGTGAAGACTGATGAGTAAACTACTACGAGAAGACGAACATTATATTAAAAACTGATAGTTATTAGAGATTGATTGTAAACGATTCCCTACCTTGCGTAGAAAACGGAATAAAATTATATATTCCTAATACTATAATGCAGGCGCATCAGGGCATGGGCATTACAGACTCAAATTCGTGTTAGAGGTCATAATAGGCAGAGTAGGTCTGTCTATATGGTTAACGGGTTTTATAATGTGTGATATAAAAATGATTTAATTCATCTTTGAAGTTTCCTGCTCCTTTTGCCTGGTATATATCAGAAATGTATCAAACAAGGTAATAGTTAATAATTGTTGTTGTTGGGTAGGTAAGACGCAAACAATAAAAAACTATCGCAATGCACGACCCTGACATTAATTCTTTAACTCACCTTAAATCACAACTATATTCGGCAAATTTGGCTAATGTTTGATTATGTCCAATTCACATATTTTAAGGCCCATTTCCTCTCAAGAAAAATTGCACGGACAGAAAATTTTCCGAAAATATCATTGTTAAAAGTTGAAAATTTCTGTCGGTTAATCACACTTTACAAAATTTTCTTTCCGCGGAAAATTTTCCTGAGAGGAAATGGGCCTTTAAATTGCCTATGAATTTTTGTAACTTGCCCCTTTTCAAGATATTCAACTTTGTTTCATATGCAAATATCACCGGTGTGACATCACATCGCATAATGAGTTTTCCGAAAAGTATAGTTTTCTTGACGAATACATTTCTAAACTAGAGGGCACTCAGAGGCTGCATACCTCCGCCCCCATTGAATTTCGGTCGTGTGAAATGCAACAAAGACAATAGATAATGAAGGCTGAAGCTTAACGAGGTTTATCATCTCATTATTGTCTTCTTAGTACTGCGTGCATACATTATACATGTCCTAATTACGCATTCAGTGAGTTTTTTTTAATTGACCGGGAAAAGCAAGACAAAATTTTGTTTATTTCTTGTTCAATTTTTAACCAAATTCAACCACATTTTAATCAGTTCTTCCTTAGCCGATGGGAAATCATTCAAAAAATTTCGTATGAATATGTTTGGTATTTCTTGAGTTATCGTGCTCACAGACAAACACACACACATACACACACACATACATACAAACCCAGATGATTACATAACCTCCTGGCGGAGGTAACAACTTAAAAATTGCCCTTGTGTATGTATTAATCTCATAACTGGTAATTAACCCTCTGTACTTGTTTGTACAAATATTTTATCAAGGTAAAATATTGCGTTTTTAAAATGTCATTATGCGATGTGATGTCACACCGGTGATATTTGCATATGAAACAAAGTTGAATATCTTGCAAAGGAAGCAAGTTACCAAAATTCTATAAAAGAAATTATTAAGCCATTTTAAGTGTTATTTACAATACAATAATAAACATTTGGGGTGAAATTTCGTATCATAGGCACTTTTAACTCAAACGGCATATTCCTAGTTAACATCCCAGCGGGCAAAATGACGTTTATCCAACGTTGAATCAACGTTGGAAATGACCTTTCGGACGTTGGATAGACGTTGAAAAAGGGTTGACTATGCAAATTTGATCGACGTTACTGTTTCGACGTTGAAACAACGTTGAAATTCTAAAATTAAACGAGACTTACCTGTAAGTTGAAGTTTGATTGGAATTCTGTGACTTGTTATGCAGGAACAAGGGGACCACATGAGATTGCGTAACAATTACCCAGCATTCAGTCTTTAAAGACTGCCAAACATTGGTTTGTAGGCAGGGTTATACATAATAACATGAGGCGGGCTGTGATCCCCTTGTTCCTGCATAACAAGTCACAGAATTCCAATCAAACTTCAACTTACAGGTAAGTCTCGTTTAATTTTAGAATTCTATTTCCTTGTTATGCTACGTCACAAGGAAATCACATGAGATTTTAAAGCCCAATGTTTGGGAGTGAAAACAGATAAACAAAGTGTATAAACAACAATGTAAATGCTGATAACATAAACTATACAAG